ACTTTTCAACGTCGAGATGATCAGAAAGAATTTCTCTCTTAGTCATCCATCCACCTCATCAGTCGCTTCGAGCACCAACCGATCAAAACAAACTCGAAAACCCACTACGGTAGAGTTTTATTCCTTTTTGTATCTCTTCTCTATTATTTAGGGACCTGCTTGTTTGGACCAACTTTCGCCTTTAAACTCTCTAATTTGTCCTCAACCCTGTTTACTCTACGTAGAGAAACATGCATTGTATTTGCTGTGATTATTACTCGTCAATCTCAACCTGCGTAAAGTGTCCGCGAATGCCATCTGAGCTGAACGCCTCGTTCGCTTACAGCAACGTTTTTCATAGTCTTTTCTTTCTTCAGTCCTCGATCCGTGTTCTAGTGTACATGGACATAAGTTCTGCCTTCCTGGGCTATTCTAAGTTAAATGGGTGATAACGAGCGAAGTTTGATTTCTCACCCAATTTTCCCAGGCTAATTTCCTACCGTTTTTTAAGCATTTTCTTTTTGACCATAATACAGTTCTCCGAGATCATTTTGTTTGTGTCAAATTATTTTCAATCTTAAATCACTCATTCTTCGTTTTAGACTTTTCTATCAATATCTCCAGCATAAAGAATGTTTAAACGATCTTCCCAAAATATTGGACTGTCGGATAAGTTTATGCCTTTTTCAAATCAAAAAAGTTCTAGAAAACTGAATGTTTTGGCTGCTTTGTGTATCGCTCGAAAGTAGAAGTTTTCCTCTGCAAAACAGTATGCTTGATTAGTTCAAAATTTCGTTTCAAACTAGAATCCAGAGGGCTAAGAGAAGCTTAATGAAAGCTTAATGTTTCTAGATTGTGAGGAACCCGAAGTCCACATCAGCGCTACTTAGAAAAGTAATCGGTTATACCGATTGCAAAGTCACAGATATTTTTCATGGTGCTTCCTACTGTAGGATTACGGTAGGTAGACAGTGTAGTGTCAGATTTACTGATTTGCCTGAAAAGTAGTCTACTGGGGTTAATTGTGCCAATCGCAAAAATCATATGCAATCTTCATAAAGTCATTTCGCAAAGGCTTGTCAACAGTTTTTCCTTTCCAGTAGATCGGTAATTCCTTAGTGCCATATATTCACCCTAATTTATAAGGGCTTGTTACACGGGTTTTGATTTATATTATTGAAGAAATCAATTTTTGACCACCCAGGTGCCTACCGTGATGTTGCAGTAAGTCCCCGGGGGGAATGAATGATTTTTATGATTCGATTAATCAGCGTACTCAGTTACCCTACTAGATAGCTTTACAGCTTTTTTTCGAGCCTCTCACATCCCACATTTCAGGAAAAATAGTTTTTGATCGAATTTTTTTCCTGCCCTCTGCATTTACTTCAATCATTTACGCTGCGAAACGCGAATAGATTAGTTAAGGCGAGTTTTGTGGTTGGAGATTTGCTATTTTGAGAGATTTGTGTTCTGCTGCCGAAAATTTAGAATTCTTAAAGATTTTTTTAAGTTTGGAAAAACTGCTTGAACTTATCCGACAACTTGATACCATTAAATAATTATAATAAAACACCTCATAATGCACTAGAACCGCAGGAATATCTCGCAATTTTAGCTTTTTCAGACCCAAATTTTCCATCTTTTCTAATCTGACAATAGTGAAATGAATAAAATTTGCACATATTCGACAAACACGAAGTGGCTGTATTGTTTGTGCAAAAAAAGTTATGTTATTTCATAACTAGGAAGTGCAAATCTATGAATTGCATCATTTTGCTACTTACCTTTTGTAACAATCTATCCATGTAAAAAACACAAAGAACGTAAAACTTTATCATTCAGTAA